TCTTAAATTCAGGGGATGAAAGCTTGAAAGGATATGATAAAAAATTTGATTAGCCGTCCACCATCAGATCTGGCTGGATTGCTTAAAACATTAATTGGATATTGCTGTTATATGCCAAATCCACTCACTAATCGAGGATCATCCTGAAATGCAAAGATAGCTTCTGGCTTTGTACCTTTACTATAGTTTTATTCACCTGTTCCCTCCACCCCACCTCCCAAAACAAGTGCAAAGAATTCAGACTTCTGTGTCATGAAGATAAACACAATTTAATCAACTGTCTCTGCCACATTCTTCCTTTCCACTAGCCCAGTTGACCAAACATCCTTTAGTGCTTCCCCTGCCCTAGCTCTGAATTCTCAACTTGTACTAATTTCTTTCCTATTTCAATCATACCCTCTCAGAGCTCATCGTGTCTAGGAGACCCACTTCCCATTCCCTTGATCCTATTCACACTAAACTGCTCACCACTCAGTTTGCCATCCTGGCCCTCACATTAGCCACTATTATAAATGGGTCTCTCTCCAACTGTTTGTCCCTGCTCCCCCTTGAATCTGCTGTCTTCACATTTCTCCTCAAAACAAAAATCAACCCTTGATCTCAGCACTCTTGCAAACTACGTTTCTATCTCCAATGCTACTCTCACACAAAAAAATGAAAGAACTGCAAGTGCTGTAAATCAGGAACAAAAACAGAAGTTATTGGAAAAGCTCAGCTAATATTTTGGGTCCGGTGACCCTTCCTCAGAACAGAGGAGGAAGGGTCACCAGACCTGAAATGTTAACTCTGATTTCTCATCATAGATGCTGCCAGACCTGTTGAGCTTTTCCAACAACTTCTGTTTTTGCTACTCCCATAAATCCTGCAGGAACAGGTTGTTGAGTTGAACAATTAACCATGATCATAATGAATGGCGGAGCAGGCTTGAAAGGCCAAATGGCTACTCATGCTCCTATTTTCTATGGTTCTAATAATATGTTATGTCGTCTCAAATTCTGCCCATCTTCCCCAAAATACTATGGTTAAATCTGTCCCATTCAGGTTTCAACCCCTGCCACAGTACTAAAACAGCTCTCATTAAAAATCACAAATTTAAATCTATGTGACTGAGTCATGGATAGACTTTTGCTCTTCGTCTTCTCAACCTGTCAGTAGCCTTTGACAAGTTGATCTCACCATCCTTCAAGGATCTATCCATAGGCTTTTTCCCACTTTTTATGTACATTCTGCCCCCAACCACCATTAGTCGAACATGGTGTTAGTGTACCTGTGCACTGCTGACCACCCAGCTCTACCTCACTATCTCTCAACTCCTCTACTATTACTAAGTTAACAGACTGATTATCCAACATCCAGTAGATGAGCAAAAATTTTCTCTAATATTTGCAAGAATGAAGGTATTGATGCCTGCTGTAAACTCCAGTCTATAGCAATTTTGTGTTCCTAGTAACAGACTGAGATAACATTGATCTCTTTGCAACTGTGAACTCTCATGATCCTGAAATAGGCTTTAACTTCAACTATCTATTTCCACCTACACCACATTGCTAAACTCCACCTCATCTATTGCATAAACTCTGATTCATACCTTTAAGATTCACCCATTCCAATGCACTCCTGGTTGATCTTGCTCAGTTTACCGTCTACAAACTTTAGGCCATCCAAAATTCTGATACTTGTGCTTAAAGTACATTCCCGTGCTCTCTGATCTACATTTGTTCCCAGTCAAGCAAATTTTAACTTTAAAATTCTCATCTTTGATTTGACATGCATTTATTGAATCACCCATTTGCCATCTCTAATTTTATCCAGCTCCACGAGCTTCTAAGATATGTACACTCCTATCATTCCAGTTTCTAGTGTATCCTAAATTTTGATTCCTCCACCTTTGGCCATAGGCTCTAAACTCCGGAATAACCTCGTTAACACCTCTCTGCCTCCCTACCTCATTTTCCTCCTTTAAAACATCCCTTAAAAGTTAGCTATTTGCCCAAGCGTTTGGTCATTTGTCCTAATATCGCCTTACGTGGCTTTGTGTTGTACTTTGATTTACATGCTTATACAAAGCACATCGAGATATTTCGGAGATAGCGTCAATAAAGTGCGGAGCTGGGGGAACACCGCAGGTCAGGCAGCATCAGAGGAGCAGGAAAGTCGGTGTTTCGGGTTTACACCCTTCATCAGGATATTTCATTATGTTTAAAATGTGCGATACGTGTTGTTGCTATTTCAGTAACAAGTAACCATAACATTCCTGGATTAGTACAAAATCCAATATGGCTGATGAGATTGGACTGAATACATCTTGCATGTCTGAAAGTGAAATCCAGTTCAGACCAGTACCATCATTTCCAAGTTTTTTTTCAAACTAGTTATAGTTCACTAATGCCTTTTAGGGAAGGAAACCTGCTGTCCTTGCCCATTCGGGTCTATATGTAACTCCAGACCCATTAAAAGGTGTGTATATGTGGCCTGACACAACTGCTTCTGAAATACTTTAATGGGCGACCTTAGTTACATCAAAACCAATAGAGTGGTTGATATCAATTGGAAAAAAATACGCATCTCCGCCATCCTCTGATCATTGAGGATGTGCAATACATGCTTGCCTTACCATCAATGTTCACCTCCAATAAGTTTAAAAATACAGCTCCAGAGGAGACAGCAGCACCCAGCCCTGCCGAGTCTTCACCATCCCCCCAGACCTCCCCGTTACTGAGGACAAACGGTCAGTCCTCAGTAAAGGGCTCACCTTTGTCCCCCTCCACCCACACATCAACGAATACCGGTCACGTTTGGACATTGAGCAGTTTTTCCGCCGCCTCCGCGCTTACTACTTCAACTGTGAGCCTAACCCTCCCTCTACCGGCCCCTTCTCCTGCCTCCAACACACCCCCTCCTCCTGGACACCACCCCAAGGCCTCCTACCCTCCCTCGACCTTTTCATCTCCAACTGCCGTCGAAACATCAATCGCCTCAACCTCTCCACCCCTCTCACCCACTCCAACCTCTCCCCCGCAGAACGTGCAGCCCTCCGCTCCAATCCCAACCTCACCATAAAACCTGCGGACAAGGGAGGGGCAGTTGTAGTATGGCGCACTGACCTCTACATCGCCGTGGCCAGGTGCCAACTCTCCGACACCACCACCTACCGCCCCCTTGATCATGACCCCACCCCCGACCACCAAAACATGATCTCCCAAACCATCCACAACCTCATCACCTCAGGTGACCTCCAACCCACAGCCTCCAACCTCATCGTTCCCCAACCCCGCACTGCCCGCTTCTATCTCCTTCCCAAAATCCACAAACCTGACTGCCCTGGTCGACCCATAGTCTCAGCCTGCTCCTGCCCCACTGAACTTATCTCCACCTATCTCGACTCCATTTTCTCCCCCTTAGTCCAGGAACTCCCTACCTACATCCGTGACACCACCCACGCCCTCCACCTCCTCCAGAACCTCCAATTCCCCGGTCCCCAACACCTCACCTTTACCATTGATGTCCAGTCCCTATACACCTGCATTCCCCATACAGATGGCCTAAAGGCCCTCCGCTTCTTCCTGTCCCGCAGGCCCGACCAGTCCCCCTCCACTGACACCCTCATCCGCTTAGCCAAACTCGTCCTCACCCTTAACAACTTCTCTTTCAATTCCTCCCACTTCCTACAGACAAAGGGGGTGGCCATTGGTACCCGCGTGGGCCCAAGCCTCTTTGAAGGTTACATGGAACAATCCCTCTTCCGTACCTACACTGGCCCTAAACCCCACCTCTTCCTCCATTACATTGATGACTGTATCGGCGCCGACTCGTGCTCCCACGAGGAGCTCGAACAGTTCATCCACTTCACCAACACCTTCCACCCCAACCTTAAGTTCATCTGGACCATCTCTAATACCTCTCTCTCCTTCCTGTACCTCTCTGTCTCCATCTCAGGCAACCACCTAGAAACCGATATCCATTTCAAGCCCACCGACTCCCACAGCTACCTAGAATACACATCCTCCCACTCACCTTCCTGCAAAAATGCCATCCCCTATTCCCAATTCCTTCGTCTCCGCCGCATCTGCTCCCAGGATGAGGCATTCCATTCCCGTACATCTCAGATGTCCTCGTTTTTCAAGGACTGCAACTTCCCCCCCCCCCCCCCCCCCCCCCCCCCCCCCCCCC